TTTTTTATAAATTTATTCCTGTAATGGCAAAGCTGAATTTTCGGTGTGATTGATGCAATTTCTGTCCCCATCTAGTGGAACTAATCATGAATAACAGCATAAAACACTGGATCTCATTTTACTGTAAAACTGATAAACATGCTTTTGAATGCTTCTCTGATTGGTGTCTTTCAACATTTATGAAGATGGAAGAATTGATAAATGGTATCCGATGGGCATTTATTGACATGCTTGAGAAGGAGAATGACTGGATGGATAAAGAAACAAAGAGAAAATCAACAGAAAAGGTGTTTTCCAGTGTATTTGTGACAGTTATGAATACACAGTATCAATAAAACTGTTCTTTTTCTCATCATTACTGTCTATATCTCACATTAGGCTCATGCAGTCTTGGCGAAAGTGGGTTACCCAGACTTCATCTTAAATGACACCTATATTAACGAGGACATCAAACGAGTATGTTTGCAAGCTTTTTGGATTTAGTTGATCTTGCTGATGGCTAATTGTTTTAATTGTGTTTGGCAGATATCAGTGCAACTCAAAGTCATTAAGGTTTCTATGTTCATGCACAGTTGTCGTTCAGTGAGACGGACTACTTTGGGAATGTCATGCAGACCCTGAAGTTCATAGCTCAGTCTGACATCGGCTGGCTGAGGAAAACAGTCCCACGCACAGAGCAAATTGTCAGCATTTTCAAAGCCTGTTAAAATGAGATGAATCTGGCTTTGAACATGATGAAACATCACTTTTTTCCCTTCAGGTGGTTCACCAACCCAACAACAGTAAATGCATTTTACAGCTCCTCTACCAACCAGATCAGTGAGTTATGAATTTCAGTTCATTGATAAATAAAGAGCTCTGTTAAATACTTGGTTTTGATTGGTCAATTACAGTGTTCTGTGGTCGTAATATTCTCCTATTTTCTGTAAAACAGAAAAATATTAAGACTTGAAATAATTTTTTTTAAAGAAATTAATACTTTTATTTTGCAAGGATGCATTAAATTGAAATAAATAAATGCTGTTCTTTTGAACTGTCTAATTATTAAAGAATATATTAAGAAGCACAACTGTTTTCAGCATTGATAATAATAAAAGAATGTTACATCAGCACCGATCAGCATATTAGAATGATTTCTGAAAATTCAGCTTTGCCATCACAGGAATGAATTACATTTTAAAATATATATGAAAATATTAAACAGTTATTTATAATTGTAAAAATATATCACAATATCACTGTTTTACTCTATTTTTGACATAAATGTAGTAGCCTTGATGATCATAAAATACTTGAATACGTTTTTGTGTGTGTACATTATGCTTCCCTTGTACACTTTTACACTATTTGGTGTACATATCAACCTCAGTAACAATGTTTTGCCTTTAAAAGTGTATTACTAATAATGATAAACGATATCCAGTATAATATGAGTTATAAAACACCTTTCTGGTTTGGTATTTATCAGGTGTAATAGCTGTGTTCACTGTTTTAGATGTTTGATGTGTGTTTAGATATACTGCATCACATTCTTTTATTTGGTGGCTAATTGAACTGTCTTCTTCTACCCAGGATTCCCTGCGGGAGAACTTCAGAAGCCATTTTTCTGGGGACTTGACTACCCTAGGTGAGACATAGACACTTCTTCTTGTTGATGTTTTTTAATTTATGTTTTCATAGTATGCTCAATCCTATATATTGAGATGTGGATTTCTAGGAAAAATAACTTGTAAAATGTGTTCTTGTGTCAGATTCTTTAGCTATGGAGCGATTGGTGTAATTGTGGGGCATGAACTGACCCATGGCTTTGATGAAAATGGTGAGGCCATTTGATTTATGAAGGTGAGTCTCAACACGTGTTGCCATGGAGACGACTGATTCTTAAGGACATCTGTGTTTATCTGTGTTCATCTAGGCAGGAAATACGACAAAGATGGGAACCTGGACCAGTGGTGGAGCAACTCCTCAATCACCCGCTTCACTGAAAAGACACAATGCATGATTGACCAGTACAACAGTTACTACCGGAAAGAGGCGGGGCTAAATGTATACAGTAGGCGCCAGCCTTTGTCATCAAACGTGTCATCAAAATGTAGCAAAGCTACCAATCTAATACTTAATACCCACAATCCCCTCTCAAGGTCAAGGGGAAGAGGACTCTGGCAGAGAACATTGAGGACAATGGAGGGATGAGAGAATCTTTCAGGGTATTACAGCATTTTCCACTATAATTATCCCAAAGTGACCTGAATCTGATTTACCGTTAACTTGTCTCATTCCAAACTTGTAGGACTTTCTTTGATGGATCACAAAAGGGGAAATTTGGAGAATATATTACAATTTGTTGTTGATTTGTGTACACATCAATCAGACTGCTAATCAGATCAACTGATTCATAGAAAAATGTGACTCGAAATAATGATTCATTCATAAATTAGACATTGCTACTTTTCTCAGGAGAGTCAAGATTCTCAGTGAATAAATTCCTAAATATCTTATTCATTTCATCATATTTTAATGGTTCTTTTCATGTTTTTTTTAAGCTTAAAAGCACCACTCTAATTGCACAGAAAAAAAATGACCAGAACCTAAAATACCCCAGTTTGTGTTCCATGGATGAAAGAAAATTTGGAATGAAATGAAGATTTTATTTTATTTTTTTACGATTCCTTTAATAATGTGTCTGTTTTTGGTGTATATATTTATGCGTGTATATGTGAACTTGTCTGCAGGCCTATAGGAGATGGATTGAAAAAGAGAGATCAGGAGTCGAGGAGCCTCTCCTACCTGGTGTGGGTCTGACCAACAACCAGCTGTTTTTCCTCAGTTATGCTCATGTCAGTATTATGCATTTCACACATAAATACTTAGGCTTAAATGTCAGATGTCTCAAACATTATATTTAATTCTTAAAAAATTAGAATGGGTTGAAAAAGAAGTGATAATATGTCTGCTTTTTCTGTCATTTTTAGGGGTTGTATATGTGTATCCTGAATAGTATACAAGATTAGAATTTGCATTTTATGACATGGTAGCATGGTAGATTTAGTACTCACTCAAATGTATGCACTTTCTCGTTACTATCAAGTTTCAAATTTAATTTATTTCTAAAATTTGGACCAAATATCATAATTTCAGTCTTGCTCTCATTAAAATGTAAAAAATTTAGGGCCAACCAATCTTGTCTCTGAGGCAGTCAAACAGAAGTTTTAGAGGACTGGCATGTTTCCTTTTCAATGGCAGATAAATTTGTGTGTCATCTGCATAACAGTGAAATGAAATGTTATATTTCCTGAGAATGGACCCCAATGGGGCATATACAGGGAAAACAGCATTGGGCCAAGAATAGAGCCTTGAAGGACTCCAAATGGAAGGGGTGCTGATGAGAAAACAAAGTCACCAAGGCGGACAGAAAAAGTCCCGTCTGTTAGATAGGACCTGAACCACTCCAGAGCAGTACCCTTAATACAGACAACATGTTCCAACCGGGAAAGTAGGATATTATGATCAATGGTATCAAATGCAGAAGTCTGAACTAAAAGCATAAGAATGGCTGAATCTCCTGATTCCTGATAAAAGGTCACTAAAAACCTTTTAAAGTACCGTTTCTGTGCTATGAAGAGCTTTAAAACCCAACTGATATACTTCTAAAACTCTGTGCGTGTCTACGAAAGATTGCAGCTGTATACAGACAACTTTCAAAGTGAATACTTCAAGTAAATATTATTTGCAAATGTAATTTAAGACAAGACACTCCAGGTAAATAGGGTAAAAAGTTTAACTAATAGATGTCACCACACTTCCCCAGTTGATTTATTACATTAAGAATTGCAAACATTTCTGTATTACAAGATTTATGAAATGTTGTTCAGATATGCAAATGAGGGATTATCCAATTAAATATGCACTCATTTGCATACATTTCCAAAATAGAGATCTGTACATTGGATAAATCCAGGTTCAACATTCTTGTTTCATTTATTTATTTTTTTGAGGTAATTTTGGATATGCCATTTTTTATCACTCCATAAATCAGAAAATAGTGTCAACAGCCAGAAAAAATAAATTTTTCATTATGTTTTTAGGAATGCAATTTTGTATAAAATCAGGCAAATTATATATAAACAAAATAACCTTTGTAAAAACAAAAGTGGAGGTTTGGTGTAAGTGCTATTGAACTGAAGTTTTGAGAAAATGGCCTTTAAAGATATAATATAACTGAAATCTATAGAAGCAAATAGAGCACAATACGTGCAAAAAAAAAAACCTTAAAGGTGTCATAGAATGGAAAACTGTATTTACCTTGGCATAGTTGAATAACAGGTCTGTACATGCCTCAAACACCATTGTTTCCTCCTCATGTAAATCTCGTGCATGCAAAAATCTACTGAAAAATAGGCGAATCAGAACATAACACCGACTGTGACGTTACAGTCGGCGTTTTAATCAAACAATGCGAGCCACTAAGCGCGGTAAAGTTAGTTTTAAGTTTGATATTCGCTGGATATTCGCCTAGGCTGCTTGCTTTAGGGACCGTCTGCAAATTTACTTCTCAGTACAAACGAAGTCCAATAATTAATACAAATTATGTTTACAACGCCATAGTAAATGCCTTGTGGGCAAACTGACTACTTACGGCAGCTGAAATTTTGCCAATATCACCCTTACTGTACATACAGTACATAATTATTCTTAGAAAACAATTACTGTAATTGCCCAAAAGTTTTTTTTTAATTTTCCAAAGGTTGTAGTACATTTCTAGTGACCAGACTGAATTACTACACATGACATTTTGCCAATATCTCCCTTACTGTACATACAGTACATAATTAATCTTAGAAAAAAATTACTGTAATTCACCAAAAGGGTTTTTTTCATGTTCCAAAGGTTGTAGTTTGTTTGTAGTTACAAGACTGATTTACTACAGGTGACATTTTGTCAATTTCTTTCTTACTGTACGTACAGTACATCATTATTTAAAGAAAAACAATTACTGTAATTCACTAAAAGGGTTTTTTCATGTTCCAAAGGTTGTAGTACATTCCTAGTGACCAGACTGACTTACTACACATGACATTTTGGCAATATCCCCCTTACTGTACATACAGTACATAATTATTCTTAGAAAACAATTACTGTAATTGCCCAAAAGGGTTTTTTATTCTACAAAGGTTGTAGTACATTCCTAGTGACCAGACTGACTTACTACACATGACATTTTGGCAATATCACCCTTACTGTACATACAGTACATAATTATTCTTAGAAAACAATTACTGTAATTCACCAAAAGGGTTGTTTTATGTTCCAACGGTTGTAGTACATTCAAAGTTACGAGACTGACTTACTACAGGTGAGATTTTGCCAATATCTTCCTTACTGTACGTACAGTACATAATTAATCTTAGAAAAAAATTACTGTAATTCACCAAAAGGGTTTTTTCATGTTCCAAAGGCTGTAGTATGTTTGTAGTTACAAGACTGACTTACTACAGGTGACATTTTGCCAATATCTCCCTTACTGTACGTACAGTACATACTTATTCTTAGAAAACAATTACTGTAATTTATCAAATGGGGTTTTTTATGTTCCAAAGGCTGTAGTACATTCCTAGTGGCCAGACTGACTTACTACAGCTGAAATTTTGCCAGCATCACCCTTACTGCACATACAGTACATAATTAATCTTAGAAAAAAATTACTGTAATTCACCAAAAGGGTTTTTCATGTTCCAAAGGCTGTAGTATGTTTGTAGTTACAAGACAGACTTACTACAGGTGAAATGTTGCCAATATCTCGCTTACTGTACATACAGTGATATACTACAGGTGAAATTTTGCCAATTTCTTTCTTACTGTACATACAGTACATAATTATTCTTAGAAAACAATTACTGTAATTCACCAAAAGGGTTTTTTCATGTTCCAAATGCTATAGTACATTCCTAGTGGCCAGATTGACTTACTACAGCTGAAATGTAGCCAATTTCTTTCTTACGGTACATACAATACATAATTATTCTTAGATAACAATTACTGTAATTCACCATAAGCGTTTTTTTTCACGTTCCAAAGGCTGTAGTACATTTGAAGTTACGAGACTGACTTACTACAGGTGAGATTTTGCCAATATCTCCCTTACTGTACGTACAGTACATAATTATTCTTAGAAAACAATTACTGTAATTCACCAAAAGGGTTTTTTCATGTTCCAAATGCTATAGTACATTCCTAGTGGCCAGACTGACTTACTACAGCTGAAATTTAGCCAATTTCTTTCTTACGGTACATACAATACATAATTATTCTTAGATAACAATTACTGTAATTCACCATAAGCGTTTTTTTTTATGTTCCAAAGGTTATAGTACGTTTGTAGTTACAAGACTGACTTACTACAGGTGAAATATTGCCAATATCTCCCTCACTGTACATACAGTACATAATTATTCTTAGAAAAAAAATACTGAAATTCACCAAAAGTGTTTTTTTTTATGTCCCAAAGGTTGCAGTACATTCGTAGTGACCAGACTGACTTACTACAGGTGAAATTTTCACAATAACACCCTTACTGTATGTACAGCACACAAATATTTTCATTAAAAACTAATTTACCAAAAGCCTTTTTTCCCCATGTTCTAAAGGTTGTAGTACGCTCCTAGTGGCCTTGGATTCTACAGCAGATTATTTATATTTACATTCATATTCATATTTATTTATTTATGTGTGTGTGTGTGTGTGTGTACTGGTATATATGGTTTATGAGGACACAAATGTGTATAATGT